ATTTCATATACTCGTTCTATATTAGCTCCCCCAATTTTCAATTGAAGTTCATTGTCTAGTCTACGATTCCCAAATACCATAAATTTAGTTTTATCCAAATTCAGAGATACTATATTACTGCCACACCATTTCTTTATTTATTTAGTTCCTGTGAAACCCGTCCAGAGAGTTGCTGTAGGTTTTCACCCGATGCCCATATGGTAGTGTCATCAGCAAATAAAACCACTTTCACTAAATCAGAAACCTTACATATATCATTAATATATAGTATAAATAATTTAGGTCCCAAAACAGAACCCTGAGGCACTCCACATACAATGTCCAGCTCACTCTACCGATCTACTGTTATTTTTGTAAATATATAAAACTATGGTTTAATCTAATACTTACCATCATGGCTATGAGAGCACAGACATAGCTCTGCTGCATGATCACCTTTCCCAGCATAAAAAACGGACTTTCCCTCTGCTGGCCACTGGGAGAACCACTAACACCTGCCAAAAAAAGAAATCATGTTAGAGCACAGAACATGACACAGAATAACAACAAACCATCTGAGGACGATCTTCAAGAGATATAATGTGTCCTCTATAATAAAATCCGAGAAGTTATTTTGTCTGTTGAAACGATCTCAATCATAAGGGATGATTACAGCTTGTAATAAACAGCTGCTTTTTAAGATTTCTGAATACACTGACATCACTACAACACAGTCAGAGGGGTCAAGAAACACGAGCAGCCAGACCATCAGACAGATTGGACCAATAACTCAACTGTTTGTGCAGATTAAACCACTTTATTTAGAGGTCACTTCAAAAGTGAGGCGACCTTGTACAGCAGTATCCAAACTGGTACAGCAGAGATCATTTTACTGCTTTACCTTCATGTTCTCTTCTGTAGAAGCTTGATTAACCCAATTTGCTATTGCTAATTATAATTATTTTAGATCTTATTTTTATAGAAACAAGTACCCAGCATCAGTCAATGCCACATTTAATAATACATAATTTGTTGTTGAGTAAATTTTTTCTATTTGCAATAATAATTGTCTCTAGTACACAATGTTTTTCTCTTCCCTTGCTCTACGGTACCAACCGCCAACTATCAATCAACAGTCGTCTTGTTAGTACTCAGTCTGGCTGGTCAGGCTTTTCTGTGTCTTGTCCATTTTGAATTCTACCCAAACACTGATAAATGGGGATTTCCTGAAGGTGTTCCACTGTGGGTGTTTCAATAGAAACCTTGATATTTGCAGAAATCTCAAGATATCTGATCTAGGTCATGTCTTTAGTTGCTCATCCTTTATAAACTAGTGGATACATTTAAGATGATACTTTTCAATCTTATTTTAAGAGAGTAAACTCTATCAAGTGGGCAATATTCAACTGGCTCATCAGCTCAGCACCGAAACCATACCTCTGCTGCACCGCTCTT